GACTTCACCTAAAGACTGGCGGCAATACTGATGTTGAGGCCAAAATAGAACAAGTTAGTTTTAGATCGAGCGCTAATTCTTAACACACTTTCCAGCAATCGGACTAGATCACCAGTTCCGGGCATGACTGTTTTTAAGGCGTTTGATGAAGGAGATGGTCACAAAGATGCCGTTCACTATAGAGGAGTTATCCAGCCATGCTAAAGGAAAAACGCGCAGGCCTTATCGCAGAATTTAATTCTGCGATAAGGCGATAAGTATCTTAGATTATTTTTTGAGTGCCAAAAATGAATTTAAAGAATCATGGGGGGAGGAAACCAATAAAAAGTGTGTCCCCAATAAAGGGGGTCTTAAAGTTTTTAAAAAGTTTATTTCTCGGTTTCCACCAGCTCCCCCCTTCCTCCCTGTAAATAATGTTAGGTCCCTTAAGGCCAGGAGAACTAACAAAGACACATGTTGGCGGTTTAGTAGAATGTCATTGACAATTTTTAACAGTGCGGTCTCTGTGCTATGTGTTCTTCTGTACGCAGATTGTAATTCTGGGAAGAGTCCGTTATCCGTTACGCAGGAATAAATCTGGTAGAAAACCGTTCTCTTAGTAATCTTTGAAACAAATTGCAGATTACTCACTGGTCGTAGGTTTTTGTGACCAGAGTCTTTGGCACCTTTTTTAAGTAGCGGTTTAACTACAGCTTCCTTCCACTCATCTGGGAAGTGCCCCGTAGACAGGGATGCGTTGACCAGTTTGGTGATTACTGGCAGTAACTCGTCAAGTGAATCCTGGATCCATTACTACTAACTATGCTGGATCAGATAAGTTGGCATCGGATCTCAGATGCAAGTCTTCTTAGCAAAATTGTTAATTAAGTCACTAATTTAACGCTCACTCAGGCCGTTAAAAGAGTGTAGCGTAGTGTCCGTAGCACTTTTTAAGACCAATCAATTTACATTCACTAAATATTACTTTGATACCTTCTGAAACATCAATCAACTACTTTACTAGTCCGCCGACGTAGCGAATAGACAACCACTCCCCCATCCCTTGGCTGTACTGGTCTACCGACGGCCAACTAAGCCCTTCCCTTGCACTCGTCAATAATGCGTGGTCGCGTGACATGTGAGAAGCGTTGTGATGTAAATCAAACCCAGTTTGTGAACGTGAGTTAGGGAGTGTCTACTAATAGCCGAGCAGCTAGTCCACAATCTGTCTTTGATTTCGTCGTAATTCGTCGCAGTTGATGTTCACTTTGCTGAGAAGTAAGTATTATGTTCAACACAGTTAAGAATTTAGCCTATTTGTGTTAAGTGTAGCCTCGCTAGACTCCTGACACGCGAACAAAGATGATTCAGCTGGGAATTAACTCCGACTCTCCACTCAATCGAACTGAAGTCATTTCCCCTCAAGAGTTTTTGCCGTCATTTCCCGTCAGGTTAATCTAATTCTCTGATACCTCCAATAGTCTTTCCTTCCCTTTGTATTCTAAGTTTGCTGAGTTCTGATCTGTTGTTCGTACTCTAACGACGCTCTTTAAATGCAGAGCACTTTCGTCCTACGATCTTGCACTCGTTGTTCTTTTAATAACCGACGAGTTGAAGTAGAAACTGCATGCTACAGCAAGAGGAAAACAGTGATTTTAAGTTATGATCGCGTTTTTAACGGGACAATATTGGAATTGGAAAGCACGGGAGAAACTGTTTCTGATCGTGTTAATTATTCTGTCTATAAGTAGTCGTTGAGCGTCGATTGGTAATTCACAACAAGCACATTTACTCCCAGTATAGTTTTTTTGCTGTATTAGGAGTATTCTTATTAAAGGTTAAAAGATTAAAGTAATACAAAAGCGTTTGAACTGATGACAAAATTTTCGCTTGAATCCCCGTATTGTCTTCATTTTAATTTTCTCTGATAGAAGTTAGAAATGTACTCGAAACCCCCAAGGTCTGTAAGGGGCCGACCATTTAACTCGTGAGGGGAGGGGGGGGGATGTGGGTGATTTTGAAAAAAACTTTCCTGCAAGCGCTTGTTGGAAGAAAAAAATGCATGCAGCCCAAATGTAACAGAAAAAGAGAGCATTTAGAACAGAAAAAAGATACTGCATAGCAGATTGCTAGAAAAAAAAAATTTCTTGATGACCAGAAATCCCCCACCCCCCCTCAAAAGTAAAACTCAAGGTTTAAAGTCAAGGTTTGAAATATTTTGTCGGTATAGTGAATATATTTGCCAAGTAGTTTTAGTCCTTGCATATGCTTTTTGTAAACGCAGCTAGAGCGGTTAGTGGTTATAAATGACAGAAATTAAAGATATATTTCAACGAATATGCTTTTTGTGACACGATTTAGGGATACTAGCATTTCTTGTTTCCCAACGCCCTCCTCAATGCAGCTTCGTTAATACTTACTAACAATAGAGTCCTTAAGCGGTGACGTCACGTTTCCATGGTGCTAAAAATCTCGGTTCCAAACAAGCGCCCATTCGATTCAAAATGGCGACATTATCCATCGCTTCGCTTTCTTCTTTCTTCTCAGAAGAAAAGAAATCTATAAAAAAGGGGGAAAACCACTTTAAGTCAGATCACATTGAAGCATTTACTTACCAGCAGGGTGTTTTACGAGGAGAAGTACACGCAAGCATGAAACAAAAGGTTTATAAAGTGACGGTGAGTTGTTATTCTTTGCATCATCGATCTTTTACTAGTAGCATCTTGCCGAAAAAACCGTTTCTATTTGCCGAACTAAATGCCATTAATCTTGACATCTTGCAGATTTATTTGGATGAAGAACATGAAATAAAATCAACCGAGTGTGAATGTCCAAGAGGCGTGTTTAAATGCAGTCACGCAGCAGCCCTCTTTATTCACGGTATTCACAAACTGAGCCGAACCGACGTCGAATGCCAGTGGCGGAAACGAAAGTCAAATACATCGCTTTCAACTCAAGCGGTCACAGAAATGTTCCCCCCGCCTAAAAGGTATTCTGCTCTGTCGAGAAAGCCTACACAAGCTGACCGTTGCGCGTTGTACGAAGACCTGAAGGAATATGGGCGGTTTACGGGGCTCTGCTGGCTAATCAGCCCTGAGCCACCTATTGCTAACCAGCTTCCTTTTCCAACCATAGAAGAAATTATTTTCTCTGACGAGTTTCTTCAAGCCACTGGGCGTCAGCAGCAGCTGGACTGTTTGGTTCGCCTTTCCAGATTACAAGAAACGGACATTTTAAGGGTTAGCGAATTAACTGCTGGCCAGCGAGACAACCCGGCCTGGTTTTTGGCGAGAAGGGGCCGCCTTACAGCCAGTAACTTCGGCTCTGTCCTAAAGGCAAAGAGGATCACTCCTTCACTTATTAAACGTCTTCTCGGGGAGTACGACCTATCAAGGGTAAAGGCAGTGCAATGGGGAGTAAATAATGAAGAGGAAGCCGTCAAAGCATTCACCCTGAAAACAGGGTTGGCAGTGAAAGGAACTGGAATCTGGTTTCATTCATCTGGAATTCTTGGTGCATCTCCAGATGGTATCATTGATGAAGGAACTGTTCTTGAGGTGAAGTGTCCGTACACGGAACGGAACCTAACAGTAGCAGAGGCAGTGGAGTCAGCAACATTTTGCCTTGAAAAATGTACAAGTGGACAGGGCTACGCCTTGAAAAAAGACCATGTTTATTGGCACCAGGTCCAGGGAGAAATGTACTTCTCACGTAGGAGGTTTTGTTATTTTGTGGTATGGACCACAAAGGATATAGCTATTGTAAAAATAGAAAGAGATGAA